AAAAAAAAAAAAAAAGATCACATAGAACATTCAAAATAAGTTACATGTTTTTGTCGTCCTACTGTTGGTCAGATTTTCAGCTGTAAACTAGGTGATTACAACAATAACAACAAAAACAACAAAAACATTTCCTTCTCAGGAAAATAAGAACAAGCAACATGTTTTTCACGAGAACAATATATGAGCCAACACCTTGCTTAACTCTCAAAACAACTTTTCACTAATTTTCAAAATTCAGTTTATTGGAAATTTTTTGGTCACATGTGCTTACAGATTTTACTTACACTCCGATTCTGTAATTCATTCTTTTATGACAAATCCCTTTTGAGATGGATTAATCGTCCATGGAGTGGCAGTACCTGGGATTGTGACTGATTCTGCCAGCTTCATATGTTCGTTTAATCCTGAGGCTCCGTATCGTCTAAGTTTTTTTAAAAAATCTCTAAGGGCATTCAATAAGAGTATTTTGTTTAAGGTGACTGATTTTAAGGTGGCTGCTTAATGACATCAGAATTGAGCCATGGTGAAGTATAGCGGACCTGCTAGGACAACGGCTTTGAAAAAGATAAATTAGTGAATTGCAGTTATTAATTATATCATTTTTAGTTATATGTATATTATGAACATTCAGTTCTAACTACTTGATCTTCATAATTGGCTAGCGCAAAACCCAGTTTATTGATTACTTCCAGAAAGCACAGGTGTATGCTAAGTGCCTGGTATAAGGATGTTTGGGTTCCCAATGTTCGTTTGCTGACAATGGTAGCCCTTTGAGACAGTGAGAAAATAGCTGATGTCACTGGATGACCTAATAGCTTTAACATTGCAAAATACTGTATGAGAAAATCGGGCTAAAATTCTTCAGTTGAAGAAAGAAACGTCTGTTAAGTGCTAGCTGTTTGGTCATTTTTATGAATTTGTAGCAGCTATGCAAAATTGTTTTCTTTTGACACTGTCACTGTTTATCCTTGAAATCGGATACGACAATTCCTTCTGGTAAATGCGTGTGTATAGCTTTACGGCACATTTGTATATTACAGAAAAAGTCTGAAAAACATATACTAAATAGATAGGTTTTTTCCTTTTGTTTCCAAGGAAGTACATTTTTGGATAATATACAGTATTCTAATTCTATCTTAAGAAAAATCTTTTTAAAATTGTACTTACTGTTTTTTTGATTATTGTTTAGCTGAATGTTATTTATTTGCTCAGTGTTCTGTTTATTACAAAGGTTAATGACTTTTA